GCTGTTCCTCAGTACCTGGCAAATGAAGGAAGCTTCATCATTGGTTGCTGGTCAATTCCTGAGCCCAAAGTGGGGTGATGAAAAGCTCATGGCCTTTGGAGTCAAGATTATAGGTTTGAGTTGTGGGTTTGATTTTCATTAATCAACAATTTCTTAGATATAACACCCAAAGCATGATCCATAAAAGAGCAAATCAACTAACCAGATTTTATCAAATGAACCAACTCCTGCTCTTCAAAAAACATTGTGGTGAGAATAAAAAGACAAGATTGGATCATATTTGTAAATTCTAAAGCTGATAAAGGACTTGTATTCAGCATATATAAAGAGTTCTCTGAACCCAATATATATATATTTAAAACCAAACACATAAACAGACATTTCATAAAGAAGATATGAGGATGACGAATAAGGAATTAAAAGATGTTTAGCAGCTTTAGTCAATTTAGAGAAATAGAAATTAAACCTGCAGTAAAACACCACTACACCATGATAAGAATGGCTAAATAGACCGGCCATGGCCAGTGTTAACCAAGATGGAAAGGAACCAGAACTTCCATGAGCTACAAATCAAACTGAAAAAATGGTGCAGTCATTTTATAAAGGAGTCTGGTACTTAAAATTCAAACAAATACCCATCAAACAATCTAGGGTCTACTTTGGGGTTTTTAATCCAAAATGAAAGCATATGACCATCCAAAGACTTGTTCAGAAAGGCTCACAGCAGCTTCATTTGTAAAAGCCTCAATCTAGAAACAACCCAAATGTCCATCAATGAGTGTATGAAAAAACTAAGTATCATTTATCTCTACAGTGGAATGCTATTCAGTAGTGAAAAGGAACAATTGAAGACATGCTGTGACATGGATAAATCTCCAAATAATTATGCCATTCTGATAGGTGTGTAGTGGTGCCTTATTGTGGTTTTAATTTGTATTTCTCTAGTGACTAAAGTTGTTGAACATGTTTTCATTCCTGATGTTTTCACTCTTTTTGGTAAAAAACTAACAATTTTAAATTTTAGATTTGGGACTGAGAAATCTGACTCTATCCCAATGATTCTTCTGGTTTGGACACAGTCCTAGTTCTAGATAATAACAAACATTCCCCAAAGCAGGGCTGGCCTCATGGGAAAAACACTAACTCAGTCACACAGAGACCCCCAAGCTTGATTTAAAGCTCTGCCATCTGCATCCTAAAATCTTAATCATTTCTGCATTTTCATTTTTTACACTGGACTCTGAAAATTTTGTGGCTGGGTCTGCCTCAGAGGGGACTCCACAGACTTAATTCATTAATTCGGTTAATTCATAATTGATGTCGTTAAAAAAGGGGTGACTGAGAAACTTTGAGTTAAATAATTTCCTTGTCTGCAGGGCAACAGGTAGCCACAGTTCAGATGGGACGCTAATACTTAGTCATCTTATTGTTTCATTGTCACACAGATTTGTGTATCCTATAGCTTAGATTATGTCCCAGAAAATCATACTCCTCACACTTGGATGTGTCCATGGATCACCGGGAGGGTCTCGTGATGTACAGATCCTGTGTTGTTAGGCGAGGCCTCAGACACAGTGTTTCTCAGATGGTTCTGATGCTGTTGGTTGGTGGATCCTACTTTGAGTAGCAAAGCTCTCAAATCTAAGACTGTGCCATTGTGTCCAACCCTCAGAGGAATATCAGTCCTATCTCTCCGATTCATAGGTTGTGACCATGTGGCTCAGAGGAAAGTTACTTGCTCTCTCTGAGCCTAATTCTTTAGGATACCCAAAAGGTTTCAAGGACAGAGGTCAAGTCCTTGCACACTCATATTAATAACTATGGGTGGGAAGTGAGGCCAAGTTGATACCATTATCTCCACCTTCCTGGTGAGGAAACTGCTTTCTATAGGGAGGTTAAATCCTGTGTCCAGTGTCACAAAGCAGGTGTGCCTCAGTGAGGGCTCAAACTTCCAGCTATGGACCCTGACTCTCTTGGTCTTGGGTTCACATAAATATTTTGAATGTCTGTTCTCTACCAGGCTCTTGTCTTTACATCAAGCTGACTTAATGAAAAGGCTTGCTTGACAGAGGAGTCTTAAGTTACTCTTTTTTTATAACAGTGAATCCTTTCCCTTCCTTTTGCAAACAGATATATTATTCTTTATCGGAACGATAGGGTGCTCATTGTTTAAAGAATGTGAGCAATGCAGGAGAGTGCAGAGGAGCAAGAGAAAGCTCACAATCTCATCCGCGGCCTCCCTTAACATCTTAAGGACGATTTCTGCTATCACCTCTTCATGACTTATGGGGGGCCTCTTTGGTGTAGGGGAGAAAAAAGACAGCAGGGGAGGGGTACCTCTGGTCAAATAATTCTGAGAACCTTCTGCATCTTCCATTCCTGGTCTGGAAGTCACAGAGAGCATTAGCCTTTTAAAAGCTCCCAAAACTGTTAGAGCAAAAAGTTTACACATTACAGAGCTACAACAGTACCCCCAAAAGTATCTGTACTCTTTCCATTGTGTTATGATTTCCTCTGGGGAAGTGGTGCTCGTCACAAAGCCTGTACAACTTTATGCTCCTACAAATTAATCGTGAACGTTCCCATTTCCTAACCAGCTCGGCTAGTAGATTTGATCAATCCCTTTGTGCTCTGTCAATCTGATACAT